CTTGCTGGCCAGTGGCTTCCGTAAGGCGTCCAACGTCTCCAGGGCCTTTAGATCAGGTCGCGGAAGGCTTTGCTTTCGGGGTCCGTGTGGTCAGACGGCGTGGGTGTTGATGTCTGGAGCATCGAAAAAGCAGACTGCAAGCCTTCAAGCCGCGGCGGTTGGGTTTCGTGGAGGGTTTTGGGTTTAGGGAGATGATCGCTGGTTCTGCGAGGCAGAGGAGTTCGTGCACGGTCGGTGCACGACGATCTACCGGGCGCCAGAGGCAGGTGCTTGTGGTGGTGTAGCAAAGAAACATGATTTCGCTGGTTCAGTGTACCTGCCCACCTGGTGCAATTGTGCGTTGTCTCCCGGAGCTTGGTCTGAGTTCCTGGCATCACATCAGACCTTCTTGGGGAGGGGGGAGGGGGGGCCAGTGGCCAAGTCATGTCTTCTTGCATACCGTCTACTGGGTGGTTTCTACAGAAGGCAGAAACTTCGGCTCGGAACCTCCCCCCGCTCTTAGTCAAGAAGTGCACAGAGCGCCTTGTGCCAAAAGGTTGCCGATGTGCATCTCAGATGGCCGATAGGTGGGCCGCCTCAGAGAGTCTTGAGCAGAGGCGGTGAAAATGCGGCGAGAAGCGCGACAGCTCTGTTGAGGCCCCAAGGCGGACATTTTTGCTCTCGGCGGGGCGGCCCAGTGATGCATCGAGGGTCTGTCTCGGGTAGTCCTTGAAGTCTGGTTGCACTCCGCACCGCTGCTGCCCTGCATCAGGTTGTGTGCTATATGCTTGCCTGGCTGGCGTTCACCCGTTCCCCATGGACTCGCTGCTTGCTAACATTCAGGCACACGTCGCCGGCATGGGGTCTTTTTCGTGAAACGCTCAAGCATTCACACCGGCGTAGACTGCAGGTTTTTCTTATAGTCACTTGGAGCATGCAGGCACGCTTTCACCTGCCGACAGAGGCAGAAGCAGCCGTCATCCCAGTGCATGCGTCAGGGCATGCGTCGGGGCATCGATCTAGCCAACTGCCTGTTCACACAATCATGTGCCGAGGCATACCCTGCAGACATCATCAGGCAGCGACCGGTGCAGAAGCTTTGGCTAATCCCTGGCCGCAAGCACCTGGAAGACTAAGATGCCTGAAAGTTGACCTCGAAGTCCTCCAGCCTGAGACTTCATGGCCTGCAGGAAGCCTTGTGTGTACCAAGCGCCAAACGCCCCACAACCAAGCACAACCGGGAGCTTGCCAGAATTGGCATGTGACTTGTTGTGGACAAGGCAAGCAGCAACAGAAACCCTGAAGAAAGTTGCCACATGAGCTTGTGTGTGTGTCTCTCTGTCTCTCTCTCTCTCTCTCTGTCTGTGTGTCTGTGTGTCTCTGCACGGTCTGCCTTTATCAGTGGAATGACTCTGTCTACCGGTCGGTCTACACGAGTGCATACCCAGTTTACCTCTATGCGTGTGTGTATATATATGTATGTATGTATGTATGTATGTATGTATGTATGTGTATGTGTATATGTATATCTATATATATATATGTATGTATTTACATTTATATTTATATTTATTTATTGATATTTATTGTTTATATTTATATCTATATTTATATGCCGTGACGATCAGATTATTATTACACTTATGTGCACATTATGTATAGTGTCTACTTACTGATGCCTTTGTTTATGTATTCAGTTATGCACGGATTTGGTCGCCTTTCTTTTGTGCTTTTCAGCCTGCATGTCTTTGTGCGCTTTATGTATTCACTTGTGTATGTGTGCACAATTTGGCACACTCATCTCTCCCATTCCTGTCCAAATTCACGAGACAGAGCGTCAAAGCATGTCCAAACAGAGTTAAACCCTGAACCATGAACCCTCATACACTCGAAACTTCACTGAACCTTGCACCCCAAACCCTCCTGAACCGTAAACCCCAAAGCTTTGGCCTTGCAAAGCAGGAGGCACAAAAAAATCCTCCTGAGCCCGAAACCCAACAGAGCCGAAGGTGGCTCCGCAGCAGCCTCTGCCGGTCACCGGAAGACCGCCCGACAGCTCTGGCCCTGGCATCCGAGGCCAGCAGCCTTTTTGTGCAGTACTGGTTTTAGGGTTTTAGGGTTTAGGGTTGGGTTTAGGGTTTAGCTTATGTAAGAGCCTAAAGTTTCGGGTTTGGGGTAAGTTGTCCAGCTTTTTGAGAAGCATCCGAGTCATTCAATTGAAATCCCGCCTCGCACCGTTTGTTCCCGGTTCATGGCTCTAAACCCGGAGCCCCACCAAGCACCAAGAACCTCGCCTGGCATCCTGTAGCCGGGAGTGAGCGCCGTAAGTCCCAAATCTTCTAACTACTGAAGGGTCCTTTATAGGAACCCCTTAAGGGATCTACTTTTTGGATCCTCCCGGGGGTCTGGGAATCGCTGTCGTTTGGGAGGTCGAGGAATTCGTCTCGACAGGGCTGGTCCGGTCTGCCGACACGGCCAGGGAGGCTGCGCAGGAGCCGAGCTTGTGGGGAAGTTCTGGGCTCAAGGCGTCGTGCTGTCCTTACGAAATTCTGGATCGGCGTAAGTGACTTGCTGGTCTTTGGGCTTGGTGCATCGGTACGCACCAGTTTCTGGAACCGCAGCTGTTATGTGGCATTGTTTGGAGCAGGCACCTCCTGCTTTGGAGCTCGAGTGGGTCGGGGGCCCCCACACTCTGCTGCAGCTAAGGATGTTTTCGAGTAGTTAGGGTTTAGGGCTTAGGGTTCAGGGTTTAGGGCTTAGGAGGTTCTTCAACCTCCCCGAGCACTCGCTGCGATGAGCGAAAGTCTTCTGAGGTTGCAGACTTCTCGCACATGCCTCCTTTTGCTGGTCACGATGCCGATGCTGAGGCCATTGCCGACATGTTGTTGAGGTTTTTCAATCAGGTAATTAGGTGCGGCAGTACCAAGCAGGAACAGGGCAAATTCAATAAATTGGACGAGTATGGTTTCGTGCACTGGTTGCTACATGATCCAGCTCTTGGAGGAGGGGACAGCACGACGCCCGCTCGTGATATCTGTGGGTTGCATATAGACAGATGGTCTAGAAGAAGTATAGGTATGTAGGGAATGCCTGCTGTCGTGTTCGCATGGCCCGAGTCTTGCGGGGTAGTCCTCTAATTAGGGCTGCTTTGTATAAGGGTGCCAGAATATTTTGGGGGCCTACAACGGGGCCCTAAGTTTAGAGAACTGCCCATCGAAGCAGGCCCCAAGCGTCACTGCCACTGCTGTTGACAAGGCGGTCACTGAAACCACGCAGCTGGGCGGCAAGTCTTGTTGACCTCACAGGATTGGCCGTGGCTTGGCATCAGCCGCCTACGCCGTGGAGCTGGCGCAGTGTATTAATTAGATACTAGATACTGTGTACTATTCTGTATACTATATATATTCGTATGTATATATGTATATACACACTTACTACGTATCACATATTCAGCTGCCCAGGGCTTCTGTGGCTATTGACGTGTCCGCTGACGCCAACCTTGGATCCGCGCTCGGAGGTCTCGTTGCCAGAACTGCGAATAAATTCGGCAGGCTGGATGCACCAGCACCTTAAGAACAGTTCGCTTCAACCGCCGGCGCCTGGCTTCAGCACACGAGTGTCTCCGTTGCACTGATGCGCTTCCCAACTGACAGGGCCCCTGGGATGCCGCCCCAGAGCCAGAAGCCATCTGAAGCCACGCCAAGCCGGCCAAGCCCGACACTGGAACTCCGCCTTTGTTGATTTGATTAACTTAAGTAACCATAATAGGGATCTATGGTAGAGAATATGGTTTCCTTATTATGGTAACTTGAATACAGTCCCCTTAATAAGAACCCAGTGAAACTCCCGCTTGACCCGAAAGGCTCAGTCCGTTCTCTGCACACCACGCCTTGCAATGCGCCAGCATGGCGCTCTTCCATCGCCCTCTGGGCGCCCATGTGCCGTCCGGGGAGCTGGATTGCGAGGGGGCCATTGCCAGGCGGGTCGGTCAGACCACAGTTCTTCACATGACTGCAGGCATACACGTATGTATGCACGTATGCATGTATGGATGGATGTATGTATGTATGTATGTGTATATATATATATAGAGAGAGAGAGAGTGTGTGTGTGTGTGTATACATTAGTATATTAAAATTAATAGTAACAGATGCATACATATATACAGTATATATACTATATACATTATACATAGTATACTTTAATTGTATGTGTGTATACATATATAACATCTAGTACATCTACCGTCTATCGTGTCTAGTACATGTGCTTCTTTTTCCCAGCCTGAGTAAGTCCGAAGCCGAAGCTCGCGAGGGCTCAGAAGCGGCGGCCGCGGCTCAAAGACACAGCTGCGCCGCAGCTTGGTCTCACTTGCACAGGGGGCTCGTCGCGGGCTCTAGATCTATCTATATATATATACACACATATATACATATATGAATTAATTCATTCATTCATTCATCAATCAATCAATCAATCAATCAATCAGTTAATTACTTAATTAATTCATCAATTAGTTAATTATTTCATGAATTCATTAGTTATTTCATTATCTCATTAATTGATTCATTAATTCATTAATTAGTTGATTAATTAATTAATGAGTTAAGATGTTGCAGGAAGCTGGAACCGGTGCAAGTCGGAGTGTTTGCTTGTGAGAGTTTTGACGGAATCGTATTGACGAACCTAAGTGGCTAGGACCTCCTTTAAACATTACATCAATGCCAGGCCCCGGCCCCTGCCTCATACAATCGCATGCCTCTGTCACCTGCACCCGGAATAGTAGAAAGGAAAAATTCAACTAAAGAAGGATGACAGATCAGCATCCTCAATCGTATGCCGACGTACTGCAGCCTAGAAGGCGCTTTCGGCCATAAGGACTCTTGCCTTCGACTCGTTGATTTTGACGGCTGTAACTCATCCGAAACACTAAACTTCGCCGTTTTGGTGCAGGCATTTTGGCTCGACGAAGGCTTACTAAACAAGCACCACAAGGGCTTGCAGGTTTCAGCCCTTGAGTCATGTTCTGCGCGTTGGCCTGGGCTGTTCTTCCCTTGGCAGTGGGCGCTATCTCTGACCCGGACTGGGAGGCCTTCAAGCACAAGTATCAGAAGAGCGACTGGGTTCTTGTTAAGGGATTTAATTTAAGTTACCATAATAAAGGAAACCATGTTATTTACTAAAGATCCCTATTATGGTAACTTAAACTAAATCCCTAAATCCCAAGCTCTAAACCCTAAGCCCTACATCCCTAAACCCCTTATAGTGAACCCAGGCTATTCCAGCAAGGGCGAGGAAAGAGCCCGCTACCAAGTCTTCAAGGCCACGCAGGAACGAGTCGATCACCTGAACAAGCTGAATGGCGAGCCGGCCTTCGGCATCACCTGGATGGCGGACCGTTATGAGGAGGAGAAGTACAAGAGGCCTTTTTTTCCCTAAAACCTTAAAACCTAAGCCCTTAGCACTATAAACCTAAGACCCAAAACCTAGACCTCATCGCCTCAAACTCCTGAGCTTCTAAACCCAAAGCCCAGCAAAGCTCTCAAGAAACCCTGACCTACCCAGTATCGCCAGGGGCCACCGCAAGCCCAAGGGCTTCGTCCCCGTGGCCCCGGTGCGAAACTTCTCCGATGCCGTGTTTTGGGCTCATGTTATAAGAAGCTTAATATAAGTTACCCATAAGAATAGGGATTCTATGGTAAGTTGTATCGGTTTCATTAGCTACAGTAAAAGCTACGAAAGCAGGGATCTATAGTAAGAAGCGAACATGGTTTCCCTTTCCCTACAGAAAGCTAAATTCCTTAAGACTGACTGGTTCTTAGTAGAGAATGGAGGAATGGGGTTTTGGGACTACTAAAGGGGGGCTTAAGGGACTATCATAGGGATCCATTCCCCCATTCCCTACTAAGAACCAGGAGAAGAAGAGCCCCCAAAAACCCCTTAATTAAGGAATATAGCCTTAAATTATAGGGGCCTTAATACTATGATTTACGGTAGATTCCTTAAAAAAGGGGTATTGGGTTCTCTGGGAAGAAGAGCCCCAGGTGTCGGCCAAGGCTGTTGACTGGCGACTTACCGAGGCCGTGACGCCCATCAAGAATCAAGGGCAATGCGGCTCCTGCTGCTGGGTATATAGGTTTAGGGGTTCAGGGTTTAGTTCAAGCCTGTGGAAAAAGGGTAGTTGGGTAGTTTAGGGTTTAGGGTTCAGGATAGGCATGTATAGGCCATGGGAGATTTGTTTATACTATCCTGTTCTTCCGTATGTGGGTCTAGGAAAATTTGCTCACGACTATGCTTAACTAAGTGGCTTTCATAAGGGCCAAGTTGAACCCAGGCTGGGCCTTCAGCGCAACGGAAGCCATCGAGTCCCAGCTGATCCTGGCCTCCGGCGGCAGGTACGACATTGCGCTGTCTCCCCAACAGATCACCAGCTGCGCACCCAGCACCGGAACATACGGCTGCCAAGGATGCAATGGGGGCTTCACGGAGGGTGCCTACGAATATCTCAAGACCGCGCCGGGCCTAGCCAACAGCTTCTACATCCCTTACCAGCAGCTGGGCTCTTGTTAAGGGATTTAAATTTAAGAAATCTATAGTAAATATAATATGGTTTCCTTAGTCTTATGATACCGCAAAAAAATTAAAGCCCTTAACCCTAAACCCTAGACCCTAAACCTCTAAACCCTTATAGTAACTTAAAGTTAGATCCCTTAACCCTAAACCCTAAACCCTATAGACCCTAAATCTCTAAACCCTTAGTAACTTAACATAAATCCCGTAACCCAAACTCTAAACCCAAGACCCTCAAGGCCTTTTAAAAAGAAAGAAAATCTCTAAACCCTTATAGCAACTTAAGTTAAATACTTTTTGAAGAGCCCAGGCAGAGCCTCACCGAGTCGACCGACACAGTCGCCTGCCCCAAGGAGAAAGTGGCGGCCATGGACGGCCCTTACATGCAGCTGTCACTGGGTTCTTGTTAAGGGATTTTAAATTTAATTACTATAAGGCTAAGGGTTCAGAGATTTAGGGTCTAGGGTTTAGAGTTTAGGGTTAAGGGGTTTAATTTAAGTTACCATAAGACCAAGGAAACCATATTATTTACTATAGATCCCTATTATGGTAACTTAACAAGAACCCAGGTCAGGCGGCTATGCAGCCGTCACAGGCTACAGCTACGCCGTGAAGCCCTGCACTGAGGGGAGCTGTGAAAATCAGGACCTCAAGGGATTGGCCGCTGCATTGGAGCAATCTCCCATCTCCGTGTGCGTCAACGCAGGTGTCTGGAACGATTACACCGGTGGTGTTTTGTCGTCGGCAGCATGCGGTCCGATGGGCGCGGCGTATCAGGACCACTGCGTGATGGCCGTCGGCTTCAACGCCACGGCTCCTAAGCCATACTGGATCGTGCGTAATTCTTGGGCATCGACCTGGGGTATGCAGGGCTACATCTACCTGGAGATGGCCAAGAACACCTGTGGCGTCGCCGATGATGCAACGATCCCCGAGGTCAAAGTGGACCTCTCAGAGGAGGAGGCGCGGGATGCCGCCGCCCGGCGGGCGGCGATGTTCCGCCGTGCTAGCACCGGGTCGGCCACGGCCACCAGGGAGGAGCCCTTGGTTGTCTGAAAAGACCAGAAGTGTCTGAAGTTTTGACGGAGGCGCTTGGCCTCGTTCCACTGCTCTCTTTAAAGATTGCTCCTGTGTTTTGCATCGGAGCTTCTTGAGCACCGCCAAGTGCTTAGAGATGCTAGAGATGATGTCCTCGGCTGATTGGAGATGGAACAGTCGTCGTGAAGCTTTGCCTGCCGTGTGCGAGATGCAATCTCGGAGTTTGCAGTTTGCCCGGCATGCGCTCAGTCATAAACTAGGAACCGTGATAACAGGAGTCACTGTAAAACCCCATAGAACCGTGTTGATTTCAACCTTTAACCGCACTCAGAAAACATCTCAAACAAGAAAGCCTTTAAAACAACCATTGGAAAGCCATGTAAGAACCCTCCTTTGAATTTAAACCCAAAAGAGCATACGCATAATAATAGCAATTATAATAACAATAATCATCATCATCATCATAAAATAGCAGTTTAAGAAAAATTGTCTATCATAGTCGCACAAGAATAATTGTCAGTGCTGCTAATGATAGTAGACGGAGTACCTGCCATGTACCTTCGCGAGCTGCCACGCGGGAGCCAAAACATAATAACAGTAGTAACAACAGTTAAAAATAAGAAGAAGAATACGAAGAAGAAGAAGAAGAATATAAAAATAATAATCATCATCATCATAAACATAATCTTAATCTTAATCATACTAATAATGATAATACTAATAATAATAATGGTAAGGGAGGGAGAGAGAGAGACAGAGAGAGAGAGAGAATAATAATAGTAATAATAATAATAATAACAATAAATATTGGTATAATTATATTTAAGGTAGAGAGAGAGAGAGAGAGAGGGTCCCCCTCCTTAATCAGAATGATAGTCTTCAATCAAAAGATTTTAGTTACTTTTTCCCCTTAAAAAACATAGATTAATTTTTTGTACCCTGGCGTGCCGGCTCCGAGGCTTCCGCCGGCGCTCACTGGAGCCGGGAGTTGCATTCACCTCCGCGGGGCCTTGTGCCGGGACTCCCGGTTCAGGGTTTGGGTAATTTAGGGATTTTGGGGTTTTAGGGTTTTTTTTGGGTTTTTTTGGGTTTATAGGGTTTGGGGCCGGTTTTGGGTTTAGGGTTTTGGGGTTTTTGGGTTTTTAGGGGTTTTTAGGGTTTAGGGTTGTTTGGGTTTATAGGGTTTGGGGCCGGTTTGGGGTTTTGGGTTTAGGGTTTGGGGTTTTGGGGTTTAGGTTTTAGGGTTTGTAGGGTCTTGGGTTTAGGGTGTTTAGGGTGGGGAGGGCAGAGTTTGTAAGAGTTGAGGAGGGGAGGTGTCAGAGGGGGTTTGGGGTTTAGAGTTGAGGATTTTGGGTTTGGGGGCCTTTTAGGGTTTAGGGGTTTGAGGATTTTCAGGGGAGTTCAGGAGTGCGATGTTTTGTTTTGGTGGGCTGGGTTGGGTGAGCTATTGCGGGCTTTCGGTCTTCGAAACGCAGGGCGCTTCGAGGTTAAAGCTTAATCCCAGAACCCCTAAGCCCTATAAACCCTAAACCCCTAAACCCTAAGCCCCTAAACCCCTAAACCCTAAACCCACCGAAGCCGAGGCCGGCACGACGACTTCAGCCTCTTTGAAGCCATTGAGAAGGAGATCGAGGTGCGTCTGCAGCAAAGTCTGAGATTCCGCCCTTGGCTGCTGAAGGTGGTTTCGGGTTTTGGGTTTTAGGGTTTTGGGTTTTGGGCTGAAGGTGGCGACTCGTGCTTAGCAGTTCTGAGGAGCATAGGCTTGAAGTAATTGGGGATTTCCGAAAATTAGGGCTACCTTATTTTGGGGTCCTTAGACTAAGGAGCCTACTATTTAGGGTACTATATTAGGGTCCCCTATTTTCGGAAACCCCGATTATTTTGGATGGGCCTCCGCCTCAAGAGACACTTTAGCAGAGGCACCTCAAGGCAGGGACCAAAGCTTTCCCTGCAGGTCGCCAGCTACCAGCGGCCAGGAGATGCCCTTGGCTTCCACAGGCACCTTCAGACCCAGAGACTCCAAAACCCCTTAATTAAGGAACATACCTTAAATTATAGTAGGAACCCTAATACGATTAAAGGTACATTCCTTAATTGAGGGTTTTTGGGGTCTCTGGGGACTTGACCTTGCCAAGCTTCGTGGCTGGTGCAGTACTTCCGGTTCTGTCTTGTGGTAAGTATGCTTACGTTGATACTAAGCACGCTTGTATCATCCTAGTGCTTATCGGTCTACTTGGTTTCCGAAAATAGGGAACCCCAGTATAGTACCCTAAATAGTAGGATCCTTATTATAAGGACCCCAAAATATGGTACACCTAATTTTCGGAAACTCCCAACATCGGCACGTACTGTAAGCCACGGCGCTAGGCTCACTGATCTGCCCTGGCAGGAGTCGGAAGCATCTCCAGATTTGGGGTGACGCATTGCTGCCTGCTTGCACTGTTCCTCCATGCATGTAAATTGCCCAAAGTGAATCTCCAGGCAAATGCTAGAATCGTATACCCTAAACCTTACATCCTCAGATTACATCAATTGCAATGATTACATCCCAAAAATAGTGTACCCCAAACCCGAAGTCTCAAGGGGCATGGCATAATCACACAAAAAACCCCTCTCCCAGACCCGAAATCCCAAAGAGCATGGAATCATCATGAAGAAAAGCCGTCTACCCTAAACCCATCAGGGCCCTAACCCGCATAAGGCCCTGACCCAATGCCGCTATAAACCCTATAAGCCCTATAAGCATTATAAACCCTAAACCCTAAGCCATGGCTCTAAACCCTATAAGCCTTATAAGCCTTATAAACCCTAAACCCTAAGCCATTGCAGCCTTATAAGCCCTATAAACCCAAATCCCTACAAGCCTTATAAGCCCTATAAACCCTAAGCCCTGCTATGTAGGAGGGAAAAAGAAGGTTACGGCGCCTGTACGCGCCCATGCGTTTTTAGAGATTTAAGAATGAGGCGTTTTGCATTGTTACGCGCTAAACCACAGCGAGAGCGCAATCTCAAATAGAATTCTTGTTCAGGCAGGTGCGCGAAACACTAGAGGCTGAAGTAAACTTTGGGCCTAACTGCATTTTCGCTCGGGTTTTAAGCTCATTTCTGAAGAGGCTGCAGAATAAAACTGTATTTTAGGGACAGGTTTGAAGGATGTATGGCTGAGTTTAAAGCATTGACTTGACTTAGGTTTGACTCAGGGTCCAGGATTGGGTTGAGGCTTGAGGCTAGAGAATCAATGCCGCTTTTGCTCAGGCCCCCCTTGCCAGTAGTTCCAAGTCGCGCAAGAGTTTCGCATGTCCTGTGGCTTAGATTGAGGGCCGGCTCAAGAGGATATGTGACGGCCGGAAGCTATTATGCCCCCACCCCCCCCCCCCTCCCTCCCACCCCAACCCTGAAACCTGCAAAAACGCATGGGCGCGTACAGGCGCCGTCACCAAAAAGAAGCCAACCCCTCGTGGCCTTTGCCTCTGCTTCGAGGTCTGGATCCCAGGCCTTCGCCTCAGTGAGCCTCGGCTTGCAGCCCTCACAGGTGAGGCTTTAGACAAAAGAGTTAAGGGTGTTTAGGGTTTAGGGGGTTCAG